TCCAGACTCCAGCACGTCAGGCCTCCAACGGGGGCGATATCTTCAGATGTCACCGCGCTCGCAGAGCAGAGTGACAGGAGGGATTTGGGGCCTCTACAGCAGTGGTTTTCAACCTGCAGTTTGCAGCCTCCGGGTGTCCGTGGACCAAGGTGTCTATGATCACTAAGTAAGGAAAGCAAGCCACCGCTTGAGATTCACGACGTGGGGGCCTGACCCTCGTGGGAAAAAAACGTAGAAGTTCTCCGATTGGAAAAGATTGAAAAAAAACCTGCCCTGCAGGGGTAAACGACGGGAAGCTTCAGTGCTGACCTCTAGGACGTGTAGGTAGGTATTAGGCCCATTCAAATCTATTTAAGTCTAACTGCATGATGCTCAGAGGGTGTCAGAGCCCTGACAGAGCCTCTGAAGTCCTTCCTCTGATTTAGATGAGTAGCATGAGGCTAAGGCAGTATTTATGTCCTTCCTATATCCCACAAGTTTTACTTGCCACCTGGTTCTGGCACTATCCATGGGGCACGCACTGGGCTGCAATTCACTTCCCATGCTCAAAGCAGATACAACACAGGCACAACACAACACTGCAGGTTACGTCTCCATATCACAGCCATTGCATTTCCTTGGCTCTAAGGGCCAATGCTGGCACACGTGTGCCATCTCTGTCTTGAGCCTGACCCTGGCCTGACTTCGGAGAAGGGGAGATTTTCACAGTATGCCCAGTAAGAAGTAGAACACGTCACCAGATAGTGTGAGCTTTCAGTTACCCATGTGCATTGCTGGAGAGCAAGCATAGGCTGGACAGCATCAGCCTGAGCTCCACTGAGCAACCGCAAACCATATCTGGAAATAAAACACTGCCTGTCTCCACCCCAGTCCACTGAAAATAAACCCAGCAATATTTCTACAAACCTCCCTGTGCCTCTTCACAACAAAGGAGGTGCCACCCCGACCAGGGTCACTGTGGATGAGACCTACTTCTTCAACAAGGGTTTCTCAGTCTGTTCCCTGTCCCTGTGTCTAGCTCACTGCATGTCATTAGAAAGAGATTCTCATGATAAATGGGTATTTTAAAGCACCAATTACATTACTGTTGCTAAGTCTACAATAAATAACAGCAGTATCAGAGTTTGTCATGGAGAACTTGTGCATTTATCAGGCTGTGGAATGAAAAGCTCTTTGGGACATGGCACGTATCTTCCTCAGGAAGCTCAGAAGATATGCTGGAACTGACAGACCTGGTGGAAAGCCAGTTTGGGGAGTTGTTATCAAGCCTTCACCCCTGCTGCCTGTGCATTGCAGGCACTGCTAAAGAGGAGGAAATCACAGATGCTTGGGTTGCACATGACTGCCTTTACTAACGCCACAGAAATGTGACACGAGTCCCCATTACAGATACGCTCTGCCGTTCTGCTACGTCTGTTGATTTCTGAAGTAGAAAACAAAGAGGAATTCCAAAGCGGAACTCTAAATTGATGAGAGAAATATTAATATTATAAGAATTCTTATAATATTATTATGCATGTAATATTAAATATAATATTATTAACTCATACACATCACAATGTTGTCCTATCATTGTGTTTCCTGGATTACAAAATTACATCTCTCCAATTAGGAATGGCTGAGTAACAATACTAACAAAACAATAGCAAAAGACAACACATTTGTCTCTCATGGATAATAGGTGGCCACCACTAGTAACCACCACAGCAGAACCAGATCCTTCTAATACAGCAAAGCCAGTAAGAGCAAACGCACATTCATATAAAGAGAAACACAAGATCTGCACAGTCCCATTATCCTTATTCAACTCAAAACCTGGCATGCAACCAGTGTGATTTCTGATGGGGCAAGGACAACCCAGGTCTGATCATAATTGTATTCTACCACAGTCACATCTCCATTGCCTTTTTAGAGAATTTTTGAGGACAGATTTGTGGACATTTGCCCGTTCTCCTCACTTTCAGACAGCTCCCCAGCAAAAGATGAACAAGCCAAGGGGAACCTCAGATCTGGCTTGCTCCTGGGAACAGGTACCAGCACATGCTTGGCTTCAGCATGGATGGTCCCCAGTGTGTCACCCTTGGCCTGACTTCCCACATGTATCCCAACTGTTCTGCAGATAAGATTTGTAGGCAGTTTGCCAGCAGGGCAGTACGGACCTAAATAGCTAGTGTACTAGGCTGTAGGCCACAGGGACACTGGGTGTGCTGGATCAGCCAAATATCCCTTTCAGCTGAGCTGCAGGCCTTGTAGGTCAGGATGTGGCTGCACTGAGCCAAAATCCCTGGGAGAAGGTAGCAGGGCACAGGGACAGTGCAGGGGCAGCACCGTCCTGCTGGACCTTT